AGACCCTGAGATATACAACTGTATGATGTAGTATAGTGAAAGAATGTTTGCTTGTACTCTGTAAATATCATCTTAACCAGACCAGATTACACTTCTAAAATGTCCCTCTCACCCCAAATCATCTTAGTGTGGTGATAAATACTGCAAAAATCGTTTGTTTTTATTTTAATTTGCAAGCTTATAAGTTTAGGCTTCTTAATTGAATATAGCCTAAGGCAGGAGATATTAATTTGAAGTCCATGCCTCTCAAGGGGGTAATGTCATCTTTGAATGAGGTTTAATTTAATTGTGGGAAACTTTAAAAAATGTGGAAATAGGGCCCTGGCCAGGTTTCTCAGTTGGTTAGAGCGTCATCCCTATACACGAAGGTTGTGCGTTCGATTCCCAGTCAGCACACATACAACAATCAACCAATGAATGCATGAATAAGTGAAACAACAAATCGATTATTTCTCTCTCTCTAAAATTAATAAATAATTTTTAATGTAGAATAATTTTTCCCCTCAGATTCTCAAAAAAGTATGTCTCTTGCAGAAAGATGCAACCTGTGGGCCGGAAACATAGCTATGATTGTGGAGCTTATGTAGCTCCATGTAGTGGCCAGCCCTATATACAAAAAAAAGAGAGAAAAAACAATCTATGTTTTTAAGGTGTTTACAACTGGTTTGATGGAGAAAAGAAAAAAAAAAAAAACACATGAAGTGGTAATGGCAGAGGTGGAGACTTTTGTAGTTTTTATATTCTGGTAGAAGCTCAGAAGAGGTATGAACTGGAACCTGTAGGGAATGGAGTGGCCGTGGAAAAGTGTGTAACGAGGTGGACTAGGAAGGAACAGGAATATTAAACCCAGGTCAGAAAAAAAGAATGAGAGTGAAGGCAATGTGGGTGAAGGCGAGGCTAGATTGGATGTGGCATTACTTATTTGCTTGAAGTAATGCAATTGTTTTGTTTTCAATAAGAAAGGAAGGAAGAAAGGGGGGGTGGAGAGAGAGGAAGAGAAAGAGAAAGAAAGGAAAGAAATTAACTATTTACATACTTAGGGATTCAAAAGGATCTTTTTGTACCCAGTTGGGAAATGAGAGTGGGAAATGAGCAATTGTCACATACGACCCTCTCTATGCCATCTTCACTACCTGTATGCCTGTATGCCTTTTCTCTGCTGCACAAAAGGAATGAGCAATATGTTTATAAAGTTTCCTCTTCAACTGCAAAATAAAGTTCTTATTCACCCTTCAATACAGGGTTGGGGAATGTCTGGCCCGGGGCTTATAAGGCCCTCAAAATCATTTGGTCTGGCCCTGCCAAGGCAATAGGGGTAAGTTAATTAAATGTTGGACCAAATATAACAGGATAATTTTTAAGTTGATAATTTTGTATGGCCTGCAAATGATGTTATAAATATGCAAATGGCCCTTGGCAGAAAAAAGGTTCCCCACCCTAGTTTAATAGGTTCTTCATGAGAGAACACACAGACTGTAGAGTCCCAGAGATTAAAGGGGATAATCACCATTTTAGATCTTGAACTTTTCCTGGAGCTCTGGGTAACCAAGTCACCAAAGCACTGTAAGACCTTGTGAAGAGCAAAGGCTCTACAGTCAGACAGTCTCCATGTAAAACTCAGTTTGGCCACTTTTAGCTATTTACCTTGGGCAACTCTCTCTCTTTGCTTCAGTTTCTTCACCTGTAAAATGGGGAACATATTTGTTTCATAAAATTATTGAGAATGAAATGAGTTAATATGTGTGAGGTAATTAGAACCTTCCTTGACATAGGGCAAGTAATCAAATGATAGCAACTCTTAAAATATTATAATATTTATGCCCTACAAAATCAAGCATGAACTATATGTGGGGAACTCATCATTCTAAAGATCAGGCAGCAGGTATAATTCCAATGTACAGAAGTTGATACAATGTGATAGACTTTGAGCTGATGAAGACACTCTGGGGCTGCTTGTGAGGCACCTTAGTCTCTTTTATAGGGTCCTCGGCCTGGCACCTTCTTGCAGTCCGGGACCCCTCAGGGGATGTCGGACTGCCGGTTTCAGCCTGATCCCAGCAGGCCAGGCCAAGGGGCCACACTAGTGCACAGATCCGTGCACTGAGCTTCTAGTATGCATATAAGATCTTTGGTTAATCTCTTCCCACCCTCCCCACTTCCTTCTGAGATTCATCAGTCTGTTCCATGTTTCCATGCCAGTGCGTTGAGCGTCTTCCCCCTGGTGGAAGCATCATAGCTAACAGTTGAACAGTCACTTAGGCTTTTATATATATAGACTAGAGGCATGGTGCACAAAAATTTGTGCACTTGGGGGGAGGGTGGGTCCCTCAGCCCAGCCTGTGCCCTCTTGCAGTCTTGGACCCCTCGGGGGATGACCACTTGCTGGTTTAGGTCCGCTCCCCGGGGGATTGGGCCTAAGCTGGCAATCAGACATCCCTCTGGCAGCCCGGGAGCCCTTGGGGGATGTCTACTTGCCAGCGGGGAGCAGGCCTAAGCTGCAGTCAGACATCCTTAGCACTGCTGAGGAGGCAGGAGAGGCTCCCACCACCACCGCTGTACTGGCAGCCATCAGCCTGGCTTGTGGCTGAGCAGAGCTCCCCCTGTGGGAGCACACTGACCACTAGGGGGCAGCTCCTGCATTGAGCGTCTTCCCCCTGGTGGTCAGTATGTGTCATAGTGACCAGTAATTCCCAGTTGTTCTGCTGTTAGGGTCAGTTTGCATATTACCCTTTTACAATATAGGATAGAGGCCTGGTGCATGGGTGGGGGCCGGCTGGTTTGCCCTGAAGGGTGTCCCGGATCAGGGTGGGGGTCCCCCTGGGGTGCCTGGCCAGCCTGAGTGAGGGGCTGATGGCTGTTTGCAGGCTGGTCAAGCCCCCCCCCCCGTGGGGACCCTCACCCCATGGAGGTTTGGCCAGCCTGGGTGAGGGGCTGATGGCTGTTTTAAAGCTGGCCACACTCCCTTTAGGGTGGGGAGTCCACACTGGGGTGCCTGGCCAGTCTGGGTGAAGAACTGAGGGCTGTTTTCAGGCTGGCCAAAGCCCGCCAGCAACGGAAACTCCCAGCCTCTCCTTTTTTTTCTTTTTGTTTTAATTTCTGGATTTATTTACCTTCTGTAATTGAAACTTTGGTAGCCTTGAGAGGAGCTCAGAGCCGGCCAGGGCAGGCGGGAGGGAAGCTTGGCTTCCTTCCATCACCAGGGGCAACCCAAGCCTCCTGCTCACTCCAGCTCTGTGGCTGCCGGCTGCCATCTTGGTTGGGTTAATTTGCATATAGTCGCTCTGATTGGCTGGTGGGCGTGGCTTAAGGCATAGCAAAAGTACGGTCAATTTGCATGTTTATGTTTTATTAGTGTAGACTAGAGGCCCGGTGCATGAAATTCGTGCACTGGGGGATGGGGGTTCCCTCAGCCCAGACTGCCCCTCTCACAGTCCGGGAGCCCTCAGTGGATGTCCTACTGATGGCCACAGTCTGGCAGCAGAGGCTCAGAGCAGGCGTCCCGTGTGTGTGTCCGTCCCCACTGGGGGGCTGCCCCGGGGCACAATGGAGGCTCAGAGCAGGCACTGTGTGTGTGTGTGTGTGTGTGTGTGTGTGTGTGTGTGTGTGTCTTTATTGCTCGGGGGCCTGCCCCCAGCCACACCATGGAGGCTT